AGGACAGGACTGCGGGGTACCACTGGCCATGTGGTCAGATACTACCACTACCAGCCCAGGAACCTCCTCCTCTTTTTGGAAGGACAGACAGGAGATAGACTCCTAGACACACAAGGATCCAGTACAATCAAGCGCTGCCTACCTTCTCCGTGGCCATTCCCACCAGGGAACCTGACGTGCCATTGCTTTATGGCAGCACTACAGCCCATACAAAGGCTGGGCAGAGCTCCTGTCCCCCAGGCAGGGTGACAACTGGAGACACCCACCCTGGCTGAAGTGCTTGGCACTTATCTGCCTCTTCTTCTGCGCAGGTACTGGTGTAAGGAGATCTCGCTTCTCTGCCAGAAGGAGCCTGCGACATCTAGGTCTGGGGCAAATTACTGTTGCTCCTGCAGTAAAACCAAGACCTTCTGCCCCTGTGCAGAGACTTGCCCCTGGGAACCAGCAGGAGCAGGGCAGTGATCGTGCCTCTGGACTCGGCACTGGTGAGGCCGCACCTTGAACACTGTGTTCAGTGTTGGGCCCCTCACTACAAGAAGGACGTTGAGGTGCTGGAGCGTGTCCAGAGAAGAGCAACGAAGCTGGTGAGGGGTCTGGAGAACAAGTCTGATGAGGAGTGGCTGAGGGAACTGGGGGTGTTCAGTCTGGAGAAGAGGAGGCTGAGGGGAGACCTCATTGCTCTCTACAGCTACCTGAAAGGGGGTTGTGGTGAGGTGGGTGTTGGGTCTCTTCTCCCAAGTAACTAACGATACAACGAGAGGAAATGGCCTCAAGTTGTGCCAGGGGAGGTTTAGACTGGATATTAGGAAAAATTTCTTTACGGAGAGAGTGGTCAAGCGTTGGCACAGGCTGCCCAGGGAGGTGGTGGAGTCACCATCACTGGAGGTGTTCAAAAAATGTGTGGAGGTGGCACTCCAGGACATGGTTTAGTGGGCATGGTGGTGTTGGGTTGATGGTTGGACTTAATGATTTTAGAGGTCTTTTCCAACCTTAATGATTCTGTGAACCTGCTCTCCATGGGGAGTTTAACTGCCCTGGCACTACATCAGAGGTAAGAGCATAGGAAAATCTCACCACACCTTGATAAAAGAAGTAATACTGTTATCCCCATGTTATATACAGGGAGCAGAGGACCAAGACACTCATCCAGCAGATGGATGTCAGAGCCAGGAACCAAATCCTTACCTTTTTAGCTGTGGTTCAACAGGCTTGCTATTGCCAACTGGAGTTGCTATTACTCCCATCAAACCTTGTGCTTTTCTTTCTCATTTCTTGCTCGCAGACCTTACAGCCCAGTTCAGACCAGTGTACCCGCATCCCACCTTCTCAGTGCTGGACAAGTGTATTTAACAGCAGACCCTCCTTCTCCTCTGCATATGTTCCCTTCTGAGCAGGCGGAAAACACAGGGTTAAGCTACGCTGTACTTGCATTTGACAACCAAAACCAGCATGCCATCAGATCATGCTCTGGCGGAATCAATTACACAGGGGAAAGGAAGGAGCCGGAGCCCCCACCCAAGAAGCTGTTGGTCTGCAGCTTCGAAAGCCAGCCACTTTCTTCTGTCCTTTCAGAGTTTTCAGGCTGTCTCCACTGCAAAGGTGTTGTGCAACCCGGGCATTTTGCAACTGCCACCTGACTTGTCTGCGGAGCTGGGGCTCAGGGCTTCACCCTGTCCCACCGTGGCTGGAGCAGCTCTGGCCACCTGCGCTCCCAAGCCCACACCAAGGCTGCCTTTACTCTTGACACGCTAAAGCTTGGTTAAAAGTTGCAGCTCAAGCTCTGCTGGATGGGCTGAGAAAGTAGAGCGAAGCCATTATGGTGATGCAGTGGATGGGCATGAACTTCCATTGCTTCAGGTGAGTCCACACCCTCAGATCGCTCCAGACCCAAACCCATCACTTACGACATTGGTCCCACTCCTGAACCACCATTACTGTGGTAAATCCAGAGCGACACCTTCAGAGTGCTCCAAACTTGTCCTGCAAAAGCCGGAGAACTCCAGCAACATCTCCTCAAACCTTGGCTAACACCAGCCAGCACCATTGAGAGAGAGCTGGAGATGAACCAAGCCTGAATCAAATCTCAAAGCCTGGGTCTAGATTGAAACAAGGACAGCACAAAGCAAATTGTCACATGAGATTCACCTATCCATATTTAAACCCAAGGCCGTAATAGCGTTACACCTAATTATGCCACAAAACCAGAAAAAAGTACCTCGGGCAAGATCACCCCGTTACTCCTCCAGGAAAGACTTTGCCCCATTTCGGCAAAGTTTCCATCAGGAACAGGCAGTGCCTTTGCGGGGATGGGGGGGGGGAAGGCTGTGCCCTGCAGGGTGTTGCTGGATTAAGCCCCTGTCTAGATAAATGCCTCCAAGTAAGAGGGAGAATTTAAAAATAATAACACTAAAACCTAAACAAACGGTAACGGTCTGAGGGCTCTGCTTTGGAATAAAAGATTAATGGACATATTGATTGACTCAAGTGGCTGGGACAAAGGCTGACAGCCATGTTTATTTTTTAGCATCTGTCTGTGGACTTACTGTGCTTGGGTCCGAGCAAATATTGCATTAAGGAAGCCTATGAACTAACACATGAAGTGTGGTCAGGTCATCTCCAGCTCAGCCCACAGGTTGTCTGAAAATACTGACACCAAAATACGTTAGCAGGAGTTACAACAGCTTAACATTTAGGAGTAGATTGGGCTGAAGATGTGTTCAGATGCCCCTGCAAAGCTACTTAGTCTTAGAAATGTGTTGACCCCAGTGTGACCCTTAGGGAGAAGTGGGGACTCTGTAAATCTTATAAACCTTGCAGCTCAAAGGAAGATGGTGCGAGCGAGCTGCCCCAGTGCCATGAAAGGCAGCCACTGTGGGATGCCAGGAAGGACCGGACTGGGCAAGGGCTGCCGCACTGGGACTTACAGTAGAGGATGCTGCAGCAAAGCAAGCGGCAGAGATGGAGGAGAGACGTGGTCTTCCAGCAAAAGATCAGGGTAAAGTGCAGGGCTGTACAACCCCTGCTGACAGACCCACATATGCTCCTGATCCAATGCTGTGCACATCTAATTCTGGAGAATTTAGGAAAAACGTCAGCAGTATGGCAGCTTGGGCACTGCTGAGTAATTCAGCTGTTGCCCAGGTTTCGGCACCTTCTGCTAATACTTGGGGACCCTGTTGGGCAAGAGGTGGGTCGCTACTTCTGCTACGGGGTAAGTCTGTGCACAAAAAGGCTCGAAGAAACAGAAAGGAGTTTTTGGAAAGCGTTCTTCAAGACCTAACGCATCTTGCGGAACTCCAGCCACTGTCAGTGAATAACCTGCTGTGCCCATCAGACCTCCTTGCTTCCAGATCCCTCCTGAAGCCACCTCTTCCCACCGCCTCCTTGGCACGCAAAGCCTCCGAACCGCCAGGCATGCAAAAAACACAAGGAAGTACCCGCCAAAAAATCATCCCTGGAGAGGTTTACCAGACCAGTTGCAAATACATTCATGATTCACCTCAGCCTGCCTCCTTGTTAAACCTTTCCCTTGCAGCTTGGTCACCCTGAAAGAGCTCTCCTCTGCAGCACAGGGACCCAGAAGCTGAACCTCACACAATCCCATGGCAGCAGCAGCCGGGGCTTCAAAGATGGGGGACGAGATGGGCATGATGTTCAGAGTCAGTGGAAAAGCTGAGACCCTTCTGCCAAATCCCCACGTGGCAGAGCAGGCAGCACTGCCTGCAAGGATGGACACTGCAGAGGCAAGGACCATGGTGCTACAGTCATAAACCCAGAGCTGAGTTTCTTATCATCATTGATTTGATACATCACCTAAAAAATGCACCAATTACAGGAGAGAGAAAAACCCAGAAGCCTTAAGTGACCATTTGAAAGCTTTCAGCTATTTAATTGTGGGTTTCCGCACGCTGATAGAGAAGCCATCACCCTTGCCGCAAGAAGCCTCTCCTCCCTGAAGCGCTCTCTGCGTCCCTTGTGTCTAGGGAGGTGCCAAGCATTGTGGAGAGAGACCTCCTGAATGTCCCAAAGCAAAGGAGGACATCCAGCCTTGCCGGTGAGATGGTGGCAGTCACCTAAGGTGACAGCAAGGCAGGCGTGACAGCCCCCCACAGAGGGAGTGGGCAGGCACAGGAGCTCCAGAACCCCACTGAGAAGAGGCTTTGTTCTTCCTCTCCCAAGGATGGCTCGCAGTCATCAACGGCTGCTTTAAAAAACAGTTGTAGCTGCACTACATCTCCACATAAAACCAGGGATAAAACCCCAGCTATGGTGCTCTGCAGCATCTCTGAGTGTCCAAGCCTTGGGCTGGGCTCTGCACCATCTACCATTCCCATCAAAGCCTGGCAGGGCCTCCACAGGGAAGAGCTACCTAATTCTCCTCAAAACCAGCAAGGACCGTGCATCCAAAACCACTCGATCATCACCAGCTTCACACCTCTATGTGCTGCAGCTACAAGGGAATGTTTTCAGATATGCCCTGAAGATTGTGGATCCCAGCCCTGCTTCCAAAAATGATGCCTGCGCTTCAGGGCCCCAATCCCATTTCCTCCCAATAAGTCCCCAGTCACTTTTGGACTTGCATCAAGTCTCCCAGGTCACTTTTGAATATGAAGCATCAGCTCCCTGCTCGGTTTAGGAACTCTTAAAATATGAAGTGCAAATCTAGATGGAGCTACATGAAATAAAAGGGGCTGCCTTCGATTTTTGCTCACACACATTTTTGCTCTTGCAGCTTCTTGGCTGTTTTTCCCTCCTCTCCAGCTGTCAGGTCTTTAAAATCCCACAGGACTAGAGAAAAAAAAGTAAAATAAAAAAAGGCAGGCAGGAAATAAAAAAGCAGGTAGGGGAAAGAAAAAAAACCCAGGAGTTTTCTATGGCCCAGATGAACCTAGACTCTCTGCTAACCACAGCAAAGCAATATTTTCTAGCGGGATGAGGGGGACCGTGCTGTAAAGAATGGCCACAGGTGGCCGTCCCCAGCGCTTCCCGTGGGTACTTACTGGTGCTTGTGCTAGTGCCGATGGTATTGATGGTTGTGGGGACGGAGGAGGAGGAGTAGAGGGGCAGATGGCCGTTCTCGCACGCCAGGTTTTTGTCCTGCCAGCTGGAAGCGCTGACGCTTATGCCCGAGTCTCGAGAGTTTTGCCATCCGTTGAGTTTGTCATCGGAGTTTTGTCTTTGGTGATAGTAGTGCGTCTGCCCGTAGTCCACCGAATCCGACCGACCTCTGCTCTGGCTGCCAAAGCCACCTGACGTGCGGTCCTCCAGGTGGTTGAGCCACATGGCCAGGGCGCTCCTGTCCTCTAAGGAGGTGGCAGGGTGTATCAAGGCGTAGGACAGCAGCTGCCTGCTCTCCTCGATGTGTTGGTTGTGTTCGATTGAGTGGGCCAGGATTTTAGGCAAGAGTTTCATGTATTCGACTTTTGCCTCGATGTTTCCAGGCTTCAGTAAAGGCAGGTGGGTTAACAATAGGGAAATCACTTTATCCTTGGATTCCTGTTGCCATTGGTTAATGATTCCTGTTGAAGGAATAGAAAAAAGAAAAAAAAAGAGAATTGAGAAATCGTCAAACAGAAATAAATAGACCCTGGCAGGGTAAATAGGACACACCAGAGGAATGCCTGCATGCCTGATGCCACTGACTAAGCATCTCCCAGGCCAGGGGGTCATGACGAGGTGTGCTGACTTGGACACCGAGAGTTACCAGACACTCCTGAAAATCACTCAGAAAGCTGAATTACACACACCTCTGTGGCCAGGTAGCTCCACTGCTGTTGTCCTAATGTTAACTGAAGTCAGGGCTTGGCCCAAATTTTCCACATCATTGCAGATTACACAAAATACTACACAAAAACTTTGTGGATAAACCTAACTTTTTAAAAGCACTGGTTGGAAAATGGAAAAGGTCAAGATTCAAATGAGCTACTGTAGGCAAGAGCCACAGAGGGTGAAGGGGAGAAGCGTCCCAGCAGGAGTGCAATAACCCCAAACCAGGGTGTTGGTCCATCCGCCAGCCTGGTGTGATAGGCTGCCCCAAAGGTATTGAGGGAAGGGCTCAGCTGAAGCAGCCGCAGAGCTATTGTTCTTCTGTTAGCTCATGGCAGATAGGAGAGGTTTTAGAAGACCAGAAAAGAAGCAAACATAGGGTTTAGCTTTAAAAATATGCAAAAAGAAAAGTCAGGGAATTACCAACTGGTCACTTCACTCGAACTCCTGGAAAACTGATGGAACAAATAATGAAACAACCTATTTGTAAGCACTTAGAAGATAACAAGATGATAAGTGACTGCCGACACCGATTTGTCAAGAACAATTTAATTTCCTTCTGCAACAGGGTAACTGGCCTGTGAATAGCTGGAGAAGCAGTCAGCGCCGTATATCTTGATATTCATTAGGTGCTGCCGCAGATGGCTTCCTCAGCAGCACACCAGAGAAACACGCTCAGGCGAAACTACTCTAATGTGGGCACACAACTCATCAGAAAACCATATGGAGACAGTTGTTACTGGTGATTCACCGTCAGACTGGGAGGATATGCTGACTTGTCCCGGCTATGACACTACTCAGTATGTCATCAGTGATACGGGTGATGTGATAAATGTGTTCAACGTGCAGGTATCATGCTAGCAGAAATGAAAACAACTCCAGAAAACTGGATTAGAAACCAAACAATGTTGTGACCTGGAGAAAAGTCAGGGAAAAAAAACTGCATTAAGTAGGTGCAAACATCTCCATGCAGGTGGGAACAAATTGCTGTGCAGTACCAGGCGGGGAAGAGCCCGGGGTCATGAAGCATCACAGGCTGAACATCAGTCAAAATGCCATATTGCACATAAAAACTGCACTAGCCAGCCTGTCATCTGTCTGAGAGGTGAAGACCAGCATGGACAAGCTGCTCCCCATGTCTCCTGGGGACTGTAGTAATAAGTTTGAATTGCAGTAAAGGTAACGAAGGTTGGGCATGAAGAAACTACCTTCTACAGGTAGAGCCAGTGACACGCTGGGAGAGATTGCCCATAGACATTGTGAAATCTCCATCACTGGAGGTTTTTCTGAACAGCTTATACGAACACCAGCCCAGGATAGCTCAGGACCTACCTAGACCACCCAACTGATGCTTCCCAGCCCCAGGTCAGTCTCTCCTCCAGCGTTTACCAAACCCCTCTATGAAACCTTCAAACTTCCAGTCCCTGCAGCAGGCTGTGCCTAAGGGTGCCACAACTGAACTGTCTGGTGAAAAGAGACTTCCTTCTGTTTGCTTTAAACACACTGCCCAAAACTTCACCAAGTGAAATACCCCGAGTTCTCATGTTATTAAAAAAACCCCAAAACTTTACTTTCTCCCTCCCTGTGTGCTGTCTCCTATCCATACTGTAGAGGAAGCTGCTCTAAATCATTGATTATCCCTACATCCTTCATATGTTTTTGAGTTAGCGTAACTGAAGCCACACCAGTGAAATGAAGATCTGGATGTCCATCTGTAGGATCACCCATCAGGTTTGCTCTTGGGAAGACCCATGCTGCCATCCAGCAGCTAACCCAACCCTTCCATCACCCCACCAGCCCGTGACCCAGAAGAGGACTATTTACAGTAGGGCCTTTTCCCAATTAGGGTCAAACCCTGCATGTCGGTTCCCCGACACAACCGCGGCAGTGAGCAGCACTCACCCCTCCAGCTGCACCTTCCCAGTTTCAAGGTGTGCAACCATTTTAATAGGAAGCCACTAGATGGCTTGCTGGAAACGCTGACGGCTCTCGCTGGAACTTTCTGCAGTGGTATTTACTTCTCTGCAGACCCACCCCTCCTCCAGAGCTGCTTCCTGACCCCATCGACAGCATGCCCAAGCCATCGCGTGCTGCTGTGCCAAGAGGTGCAAGGGACACGATTTGGCATGGCTTTGGTAGAGAAAGAACTACTTCATCTGCTAAGAAGCAAAAGGGAATTTCAGTACTCTAGGTGCCCTCCCATTCCCGTGGAGATGCTGTGAAGTTGTTTTGGTACTAAAAAACAGGATTTGGAAAAGCAATGCTCAATCTAAGTGAAGTTGTAAAAAAGACATGAGTGTAGCAGAACACAAGGTCCACTCCACAGCGGGTACGTGACATACACCTTCTGATGCAATGCAAAGCAACTTTTATCTTGGGTCATAATTGACCATCCTGAGCCCTTCCAGCTCACCAACATTTTTTGCCAAAAGCGCAGTGGGACTGAAGCCACTCTTTGGGGGATTCAAATGCACCCTCTCCACCCTGAGCCACGCTCTACCCACTGAGCATCAGGTATACTGGACCAAAGCAACCTCAAAACATTTTGGAGCCGCTCTGCTGCTTTGCACAGAATAATTAAACATAGGTACTGGGGGAGAATGCAAGGGGAAAGCCTTAGAGCTAAAAACCCTTTACTTTTGGAAGCTCTTAGGACATTGCCTCTAAATCCTCCTGTGGATGCAACCATTGGCAGGTCGATATGGCACCTGCCTTTCACTACATACCCCACCGGCTGGGGGGGACCTAGCACACAGGCAAAGCTGCAGGCAGGGAGAAATACAACCCAAATCCTTTGCAGTGGGTGGGTTCCCATCCCTGCTTTCCCCATCCTCACTTGCCAGTGGGAATTAGGGATAATGCCTTCTCTGTGAGAACAGCCTATACAGCTTTGCCTTTGCTTTCCCCTGAAACATGTGGTCTTGGCCACAGACCTGTCTAATTACTATTTCTCATTGCTATCGCTATTTTTTCTGTAAATCCAGAGTGCAGAAGTCAACATCACTCCGGATCATCAGTTTGCAAAGCTGATGGAGGCAGATTTGTGCTGCAAGGATGACTGTGAATGGCACCAGCTGAGGCTCGACACAAGTCACTGTTCACCACCTCTCCTGCAACCGCCTCTGAGTCCCGATGCAGGGACCCACCAGCACCAGGATGCCAGACACGGACACAGCACGATGCCATTTAGCACCTACCGTGGACAAACTGCTTGGCCAGGTTATTTGATGTTGAAACACTACCGGTTGCGCACAACACCTGCTGCGCGTGGGGAACGCTCCTCAGACCAACTGAAAAGTTCTCTTGCACCAAGTGAAGCCTGAGCGTTTCCCCACCAGAGCATCTCCCTGTTTTCCATATGCAGATGTAATTCTGCTGCAGGCAAAGCTTTGTGTCATGCTTAGTCTGATTTATCTGTCTCTTCTCTCTCCTGCTTCTTGGCTGGCTGCCTGGGAGGTGAAAATCCATGTTATTTCGTCTCCTCCTCCTGCAGAGGGATTTCACCCCTTCCCCTTCCCTTATACCCCCTGGTTTTATCACTGCTGTCGGGGCACTTCGGCAGCTCTCTCAGGCTGGCACAGCCAAGCCCCAGCCTGGCACCGGCTGGAGAGAGGCTGCGGGACTTTGCAGTGGCTCAGATAAACTAAGAAATCAAAAGATTGTTAAAAAAAGGCATGCAATGCGTTGCTAAAGTAAGTCAGTTCCACTTGTACATAGGAATTACGTAGAAAAATACATGCAGAAAAAGCAGAGACCAGGGCAACCTGAGTGCAGGGGAGAAGGAGGAGGATGGGGGAGGCAGGTGGCCGTGGCTGGACTCCTCTTCCTCACACGGTGGTGGGGCTGACCATGAAGGTCACCACTGGAGAAACACAGGATGGTGTCAGAGCTGCTTCTTGGGAAACTTGGCTTGGACCTCCAAGAGATTTGGGGGTTTGAAATCACAATGCCAAAAGATGAAGCATTGATCCAAATGCCCTCGGCCAGCAAGCGTGGATGCCCTTTCCTGCCCCAGCCTGGGCAGGAGCCGCTCTCCTTCTCAGCCAGAGGCAGGATGTGCACAATTAAACAAAAATGGAAAATAATTAGATTCGAAAGAGGTTTGGCTCTCTCCGAAGACGGGGCAAAAGGTCAGGCTTAATCCTATCTACCAGAAAACAGAGAGATCTGGAGAAGGCGGTGCGAGAGGAGGAAAGCTGGAGTTGCCTCTGGGCAGGGGCACGGGGGCTGGCGACCCCCCAAAGCCCCTCTCCACCCTCTCCTCGAACACAGGAGCCCCCGCTTCAGCTCCCTACCTGCTGCCAGGCACTCCCAGACATCTGGGATGTCCCACCCTTTATTGCCAGAACAAGCCCCCCCACCCCGGGTCAGCCGCAGTTAGGACGTGTCCCTGTCCTGGGCTCCCACGTCAAAGGTCCTGGCATGCAGCCGGCGGTGGTGTTCGGGGTCACAGGCACTAATCACATTACAGCCTCATCAGTTCCCCCGGGTGCTGCTGCAAGGATGCCTGATGCCTTCCATCGCAAGGCTTTCGCTGCTTTAAGGGACGGCAAGACTATCGATATTTGCAGCTGGCAAATCTGAGCATAGTGAAAGCCCTGAAGTTAGAAACCCAACTTGCTGCTCCAAAACTTCCAAAATCCCTGTCCTGCCCATCGTCGTCACTGCACCAACATCTCCTTTTGCAGATGAGCTAAAATAATAACTGACAAGCACTCTAAGGAGCCAGTTCATGTCCCAGCCCTGTGACCCT